ATCTCGCTGGGTATTCTATCATAGTAGTGGTACTATACGCGCTGCCCAGCATCTTGATGACGGGTCACAACAAGATCAGATTTCAAAGGCTCGGAGGACTCCTTCGGGCTGTCAGGCTCCCATGGATGATAGTGGGGGGCTTCAACATGGAGCCCGACATCCTCGCCGCCAGCATGTTCGTTTCCAAGTTGAACGGCATCATTCGCACCGCAGGCCCTGCAGGCACGTGCGCCAATTGTCAGGGGCGAGACAAGGTGCTTGACTATGTGGTGTGCAGCCCCGAGGCCTCGCCGTTTCTGAAAACAATCAGGGCGGTGCGATCTGTCCCTTGGAAGCCACATCAAGGTCTCGCCATTCAGTTACGTAGCTCGGGCCTCCAGCTTCTCACCCGCTCCCTCGTGGTCTCTCCCAGGCTCCCTCAGGCCCCGAGACCCCGTAGGGGGCCCACTGCTGGTTCTAAGTCTAGTCTTTCTAGAGCTCGCCAGGCGATTGCCCGGCAAGAGGCCCTGGAGGCTCGTAGGCAGCATTTCCTTGAAATGTTTGGGGATTGTTTTCATAGCCCTGGGGTCCCGTCGTCGTCTGCGGAGGGTGCAGGTCAGGCCCCTCCCGATGAGGTCGATGAATCTCTCGATTGTTGGCCCGACGAAGAGGACGACCCGTGGGCAGATCAGCTGAACTTTTGTGCTGACGGAGAGTTGAGTAACGCCCTCGCCTCCCCGTCTCACCCCATCCTTCCCATTCCTGGCTCGATGGGCAGTGCTGAAGCGTATCGGCAGGAGAGGCAGTGTAAGACTGATCCAGCAATGGCACAGCAGAATCCCCTCCCCAATTCGTGCCGGCCCCCCCCCCCCCAACCAAGAAGTGGGAAGATTTAAATCCCGATTTAAACCAGCATGACCTACAGTTTTGTGATCCTGGGACCAGTCCTCTACAGGCCCCTGAAAGCTCCCCCTCCGCGTCGGTCACTTTCCAGATCCCGAGCGAGTTGTGGGTCGAGAGCAGACAGGAGGTGGGTTTTGCTTCGGGGCAGGACTGCATTCAATCCCTCTCTCCGTCCCTCCTCAAGTCCGTAGCTTTTCGGCTTGAGGCCTCACACTCTACTGTTGTTTCAGGAATGTATGCAGCGTGGATCTCCACAGTCGAGCTTAGCATCACCAGACACCATGGCATGGAGCTCCCTCGCTCGAGGCGAGCCCACGGGGCTCGATGGGTCGAGGGCCCAGTCAGGCAGGCGGCCCACAGACGGAATATCCACCTTCGTGACCAGAGAGCCCAGTGGTGGACCCAGGTCCACACGCTGATCGCAGGAGTCAGCCGACATATACAGCGTGGGAATGGCACCCACCAGCTACAGAGGTACCAGGAGGCGGCGCTCAAGGCAGCAGGAGATCGTCCCGGGGGCGTTCATACCGTGCTTCGAGGCGGATGCGACCCCCCTTGGGATGAATGGTTACGGCTGCTTGAAGCGAAGTGCCAGATCAACCCAGCAGTGTTGGAGTCTTACGTTCACAATGCCCGCAAGATCATGCAGCGGGCTCAGAGATTGGCGGTGTTGTCGGCTATCCACGACTTCCGTGCGTGGGTGGTGGAGCCAGGGGCGAACGGCATCCTTCACAAATCTTTGAAGAAGGGCCCTCTGCCTCCTACCGAGGTCGCGGTGGGCCAGCAGCTCATGTACCACCCGAAGGACATCATGGACGCAAAGGCGCAGAAGTACCAGCGGCTGTGGGCACCTTCGGCCCCCAAGTTGCAGGATGTGAGGGGATTATTTCGACAGATTCGAGATCGAGCGGTCGACGAGCCGCTCCCACAGCTCGAGGTGACGGACGTCTCCAGGGCTGCTTCACGAATGAAGGCCAAGGCAGGCCTGGGCATCGATATGGTCACGCCTACTGACTACCAGAGGCTCCCTGTCGAAGGCCAGGCCGAGCTGCTCATGATTCTGGAGGCGGTCGAGGCTACGTTGGCTTGGCCCGCTCAGACGTTGGCAGTGATTGGGAAGCTCACCCCCAAAAAGTCAGGGGGTGATCGGGCGATCGGCCTAGTGTCGATGCTCGGCCGACTCTGGTCCTTGATGCGTGAGCCATCCGTGCAGACCTGGTCGGCTGAGAGCGCTCGCCACTGGGGCGCCGCCCTCCCAGGCAACTCCTGCCTGCAGGAGGCGTTCCTACGAGCACTCGACGAAGAGCTGGCCTTCACCATGGGCATGCAGTACGGCCACGGGATGCTGGATATCGCCACGTTCTATGACAGCATCCCGTGGGACATCCTCGTATCGGCCGCGCTGCGGCTTCATTTTCCACCAGTGATACTATACCTTGAATTGTTACAATGCGTGGCCCCACGCTGCTTGGAGCAGGACAAGACCGTGTCGACCTTGTTTGACCCGCTCCTCAGCGTCGTACAAGGACTGCGGTCAGGAACCCGCTTCGCCAAGATGATGACCCACCACGTCATGGCCACAGTGACTACTGCTCATCCGAGGATGGGGGCGAGACTATGGGTCGACGACGTGTCGGAGACAGTCAAAGGCTCTAGCAAGGCCATCCGTTCAGAGCTCGCCAGCGGCATCATCATGACGTGCCGTGAGCTGCAGCATCGCAAGCTCAAGGTTGCCGATAAATCAGTCGTCATCTGCAGCTCGATGCATGATGCTCGGGCCATTGCTCGCCAGGTCCGACGTGCAGGCTTTGTGATCAAGCCAGTCACGCACGCCACCTATCTCGGCATCGACTTCGGGTGCGGGAGGAGAGTGCGAGCGGCCAGGGTGCTGCGAGAGAAGAAACATCGGCTTATGAGTGTCAAACTACGACGGTTCACGAGGGCCACGAAGCAGTACGGGGCCATGACCAAGCTCCAGAGACAAGGCGGCCTGCCCGCGGGTCTCTACGGGCACCAGGTCCACGGGCTCTTCGGCGAGCAGCTCACGAGGAGCAGACGCAGGCTCGCGCAGGCTTGTGCCTCGTCAGCGAGAGGACGATGTCTCACCACCGTCCTGGCGCTTAGGGCCCCAGGTGCTGATCCAGGAGTGTTATACCCGACCCAGACGGTGGACACCTGGCTCAAAATATGGCGCGACTGCCCCGAAGTCAGGGCGGGAGTCCGGCGAGTGTGGCCCGCTATCGTGCAGCAGATGCAGACAGTTCCAGTTCCAGCTCAGGTACGGCTCATCAAAGGCCCCACTGGGGCTATCATCCACACGCTGCTCAGGCTGGGCTGGACTCCACATGCCCCTGATACGTGGGCGTTTCAAGTCGGCCCTGATCACAGCGAGGAATGGCAGTTCCCAGATCATATCTACACGGGAAATCCCCACGTGGACCGACATGATCACCTGCTGGACGACATACGCAAGGCATGCCAGACCCAGCTCTGGACCCAGGCGGCCAAGCACTTCTGCGGCGGGGGGTTGGAGCAGGGAGTCGACAACTCCTCGTACATCCAGCTACTGAGACAGCTGTCCCAGGTGTCCAACGGCAAGAGGTTGTGTGAGATCATGGTCATGGTTGCGTCAGGCGGGATCTGGAATAAGCAGAGGAAGAAGATGGAGCTCAAGAGATATCAGGGCACGGACGTATGCGACCGATGCAACGACGAGGTCGAAACCCCACTACATCGATATTGGCAGTGCAGGTGTAACGCAGACGCCAAGCCCTACGTCGACTCCGAGGACCTGCGCATGCAGGCAGTCACGCAGTGCAACACTGCAGAGGCTTTCTGGCTGCGCGGGCTGTTCCCTGCGCACTGGACGGAGGTGAGTCCACCGCCGTCACAGGAGGCCTGGCAGTTCACTGGCGGCCATACGCTCGAGGCTGGAATTTTCGGACCAGGCTCGGCCGAGTGTCCTGTCTGGATTTTCGGCGACGCCAGCGGGGGCCCAGACAGCAGGTGCCCCAGGCTGCGGAGAGTTGGCCTAGCCATCACATGCTTCGAGCGTGTGGAGCCTGTCATCGTCCCCAGGGGCTCCATCTTTGGGCCGCTGAACGGACGGCGGCAGGTAGTGGCCAGGGGTGAGCTGAAGTGCTTACACCTGGCCCTCTGGGCCACCACGCAGTATCTCACTTTTGTCACTGACTTCGAGGATGTTGTCACTGGGTGGTACGAGCAAAGATGCCTACAGCCCAGAGGTGCTGACGCCGACCTCTGGGCGGCCATCGGACAGCTGATGGCCCGCCGCCCGCCTCATCTTGTGTCTGTCCTTTTCACGCACTCTCACCTCACGGCCAGCCAGATGGCTGCTGGCCAAGGCATCCGCCAGTTGATTATCGGTAATGCAGTCGTGGACGAGCTAGCGGGTCTTGCCGCCGTCCAGGCACGTGTGCCCGAGGCAGAACGTTGCAGATTGTTACTTCACGAGCGCCGTGCGCGGCTCGTTCGTCTCAGGTTGCTGCGAGCTGCGGTGGACTGTCTCGCCAAGGAAAAGCAGTTGGAGCGGGAGCGCGGTGGCGTGCTGCGCGGAGGCCCTAAGCTTCCCCCTCCCCCGCCTCCCCCCTCGGCTCCTACTGTTGCCGCCTTTTTGTCTCGGCACCTGTTGTCCGACTGTAAAAAGAGATGCCTTCGGTGCCATGGCTCTGCGTCGCTGGCCACCATGAAAGAATGGCATGCGACGCAGTGTCACAGTTTGGTGAATGTGAATGGGCTGATATACTCCCCTCCAGTCGGAGGGAGAATCCATGTCGGGGGGGGCTGGCTGCACCAATCCCATCACCTCAACTTCCACCAGTCTCTGAATGTATGGTTCTGTGGCAAGTGTGGGGCGATAGCTGACAAGCAGCTATGTTCGCTTGCAAAGCCATGCTCGGACACCCTTGGAGCCACGGGACGAGTGCATCTCAGGAGAATTCACGAAGGGCTCCCCCCCAAGGTCCCTCCTGCTCCTCCTCCTCCTCCTCCTCCTCCTCCTCCTCCTCCTCCTCCTCCTCCTCCTCCTCCTCCTCCTCCTCCTCCTCCTCTGCGCGCTGTCAGCCCTTCCGCTCCTCGCCCTCCCCGCCCCCGCACAGGCAACGCTGCCGGGCGCCTCTCGCCGCTCCTGCGCGGCCTGTCGCCGGCGCAGTTCAGGCAGCTGCTGGACAGCGACGAGCTCCCGGTCACCAACGAGGAGGAGGCCCTCGAGCTCGCCCTGCTGTTCATCCAGGATGCGGCAGGGTGGGGGCTGAGGTGGTGCGTTGGGGAGCAGGCGGTGGAGGATCTTCTTCCTCCTCCTCCTCCTCCTCCTCCTCCTCCTCTCCTCCTCCTCCTCCTCCCTCCTCCTCCTCCTCCTCCTCCTCCTCCTCCTCCTCCTCCTCCTCCTCCTCCTCCTGCCCTCCTCCTCCTCCTCCACCTCCTCCTCCTCCTCCTCCTCCTCCTCCTCCTCCTCCTCCCTCCTCCTCTCCTCCTCCTCCTCCTCCTCCTCCTCCTCCTCCACCTCCTCCTCCTCCTCCTCCTCCTCCTCCCAGGAGGCTCTCGGAGGTATCGTATGGGAGTGTTCCGGCAACCGCGTCCTGCAGAGAGGTTACTGTTGATGCCAGCATCGCCCCAAGGACCTCGTCCAGCCCGACCAGCGGATTGGTATGGATAGTTATTGCAATTACTCAGGTTACCCTGCTCTGTATGAGTTATGGGGACTCCAGATGCATTTCACCTGTCCTGTGAGGTTCGGAGCCCAGGGCCTTCTTGGAACTACGGGGCTGCATTGTGGGATATAGGAGTCCTTTTAGCGCTCTCTTGGGGCATCTTGGGGCCCTCTTGGGGCCCTTTTGGGGGGTCCTGGAGACCTCTGGGGGCTCTTTTGGGGCGCCTTGGGGCACTCATGGGGCCCTCCTGGGGCTTTCTTGGGGCTCTCTTGGGGCCCTCTTGGAAGCTACGGAGCGCCTCCTGGGGCCATCTTGGAGACCATCGATCAAAGGAGGGGGGGTCCTCGATTTCCCTCCCCCCTCAGAGGCCAGCGGAATAGCCTCTTGGGGCGCTCTTGGGGCCCTCTTGGGGCGATCTTTGGCGCTCTTGGGCCAATCTTGGGGGCCTCTTGGGCCCTTCTTGGAGCTCTCTTTGGGCCATCTTAGGGTTTACCTTGAGGCCTCAAAACACTATCGGAATCAAAAAGGCGAGAAGGCAAACATCAGTGAATTTCTTCCAGTTCTTGAAGGATTTTGGCTTCTCCGCGAGGTCCTGATGGGGTCGCCACAAGCACCTGGAACGGTCTTGTGGCCCTTTGGGGGCCTCTTGGAGGCATGCTGCTAGCTATCTGGAGCCATGTTGGGCTATCGATCTTGGAGGCCATCTTGGGATTTCTACGGCCCACTTGGAGCCATCTCAGGCTATCTTGGACGCACTGGCCGCTCGCGAACCCCTCCGTCCAGGGGGTCAAGTCAGCCAGCTCGAACGAGCCAGAGGCTCCGTCCACTCCCACCCGCCCTCCCACAACATAAGAAGCAAGTGCGTCGCGTTCGACGCCTGTCGCTCATCTGATATCGTGGGCGGCTAGACGTCCAGCGCGCGACATGAGCTGCGTCCTATTCCTGCCGCGTATTAAGCAACGTCGGCGAGAAACAAGACCGCGCGCGATGTACGCCGCGGCCCGCTCCAGCCTCTCATGTTGCATCGTCGGCGACATCATGTCCAGCGAACGAAGTGCGCCGCGTCTCATTCCAGCCGCACGTGTTGTACCGCCAATCGTTTCGCTCCTGCCGCGCATGGAGGAGGGGTGGGAGGAGGAGGAGGAGGAGGAGGAGGAGGAGGAGGAGGAGGAGGAGGAGGAGGAGGAGGAGGAGGAGGAGGAGGGGTGGAGGGAAAGAGGGAGGGAGGGAGAAACTGAGGAGGACGAGGAGACAGCCTCTTGGGAATTCGCGGGGCGTCCTGGGAGTTGTCTGGTATACGCCTGAGGGCCTCTTGGGTATGTCTTCCGGGTTGGAACATTGTCAACGCAAGTAGGTGCTAACCTCACAGTCCTTCAAACACCAAATGAACATCAATATTTTTGCTGCCCCCCAGGACCTCCTGAACGCCTTTTTTCGACCTCTGGGGGGTCCCCTGAGGCACTTGCTTGAAACGCACTTGTTTCAGGCATTATGAGCCCGCCCAGCTCCTCAACCCGACGGGCCGCAGCGTCGACGACAAGAAACTCCATGGTGACGAGCAGGCGTCCCCGCGCGATGTGCGCCGCGTCCCATTCCCGCTACGCGATTCGCAGCGCCGACGAGGAGAAAATACATGTCGGCAAGCAAATCGTCGACGTTGCGGTGTTTTTTGAAGCGTTGGTCGGGGGTCCCGCGTGGGGTTGGCCAGGCGTCCGCGCGCGATGTGCGCCGCGCCCCATTCCTGCTACACTTTTCGCAGCGTCGACGACAAGAAAATCCACGTTGACAAGAAAAACGTTGACGTTGTATTGTTTTTGATGGGTCGGACGTGACCACCCGCTTGGGGTTACCCAAGCAGTGCTCATTCCGTTTCATTGGTGCTACACGTTTCGCAACTCGACGACACGTTGGCGAGAAACAAGTTGAGTTCGTGTTGCTCTTTGATAGCTAGGAAGGCGGGGCTGCTATCGGCCAGCTAGGTGGGGATGTGGGGGTGATTAATCATAAGAGTTAAGGATTACATCCCTCCGCAGATGGGTACTACAAGGATTTTCGAAGGGGAAAGCAATACATCGTTAGACCACCTGCGCCCAGAGGGCTGGTGGGACTTGTGCGTAATATGCCTGGCGGCGTTGTCCCCAGGTCCAGGGGTGGTTCGTTCCACCGAAAAGGATACATTCCCCCCGCAACCTACATTCATGCCCCAGGGTCTAGAAGTCCGTTTGGGGCCTCCGAGGGAGGGGGCAATGTTTGTTTGAAGGGGCTTCCAAAATGGTTCCAGGGGCCGCCAAAATTTCGCCCAGGACCTCCGCAGGCGTTCCACGATGGCCCCAGAGCGGCCCCAACATACAGCAGCATGTACCCAGAGAGAGTCCACGACGCCCCAGGGGAAGCACACTCAAACCGGCAACCTGACGTGTGCTCAGTGGGTGTTGGTTGTCAGGCTGCCCGCCTGCGGATAATTCGGGGGGCGCTCCCGAGGCCCCGGGGGCGCCCCAATAAGGTCTGAAAAGAGCCCCAAGGTGGGCCACAACAGCTCCAAGACGACCTAAGAGAGTCTTCGACCGCCTAGGCGACCCAACAGAGCGCCTCGATGGCCAGCCGCCGGGTCCGCCAAGAAGGGCCACGACGTCCCGATAGTCCCCCGAGGGGGCCCACAACCGGAGGAAGCCTCCTAGAGGCCACCACGATGGCCCCTGAAGGGGGCCTGAAGACACAGCCCTCGGACAGCCGAGTGCAACCCCCAAGAGGCCCACACGGACCAAGACTTCTTGAAGTTACGATCACGGATAGTTTCGGAGGGCCCACGGCTCACAAACGGGCGAACCCCTTTCCTTACTCGTATGATTTGGTACGGGGCCCTCTGGAGAGGCCCCCGAGCGTTCCGAGGGGCAGCCCGAGACGACCCGAAAGCGTAGCATTCCGAGGCCTCTTGGCCGACCCAGGGTTCTCCAACATAGCACGTCGATTTGGTGGTGGTGGCGGTGGTGGTGGGAGGAAAGGGGGAGACTAATGTGGATGAGGGAAGGGAGGGAGAGATGTAGTGGAATGCGGTGGAGGAGGGGGCGGAGGAGGAGGGGCAGAACGGGGAAGAGGATGACAATGAGAGGGGAGCGGCGGAGGAGGAGGAGGAGGAGGAGGAGGAGGAGGAGGAAGGAGGAGGAGGAGGAGGAGGGAGGAGGAGGGAAAGGGGGGGAGGGGGAGAGAGGGGAGGATGGAGGAGGAGGGAGGAGAGAGGATGGAGGAGGAGATCGACGACCACGCTGAGGACGGGGAGGACGGGGACAATGAGAAAAACTGCGCGAGGATGGATTCAGGAGGGGAGGAGGAGGAGAGGAGCAGGAGAGCAGGAGCAGAGCATGGGAGCAGGCAGGAAGCAGAGGAGCAGGAGGAGCAGGAGGGAGGAAGGAGGAGGAGGAGAGGATAGGAGAGGAGGAGGAAAAGGAGAGGAAGCGGAGGAGGAGGAGAGGAGGAGAGGAGAAGGAGGAAAGGAGAAGCTGGGGAGGAGGAGGAGGAGGTTGTGGATGGGGTGGTGCAGGAGGTGGCAGGAAGAGAATGATGAGAAGGAGGGAGGGAGGAGGCGGAGAGAAGGAGAGGAGAGGAGGAGGAAGGAGGAGGAGGAGAGGATGGAGGAGAGGAGGTGCAGGAGTAAGAGAATGAGAGAGAGAGGAGAGGAGGAGGAGGAGGAGGAGGAGGAGGCGAACATGGAGTTGGAATTGCCGTACATCGCATTGCGGCGGCGATAATTGCATGTTGGTGTTGTCAGCCCAGTTCCATTGCGCACGGGGATTTCAGCTGGCGACGTGGTCTGCATTATAGTCGTCTGTACAACAGTATATGTATGAGATGTCTCGCGACACGTGGGATGATCAGAATGTGCCGTTCGTTGACGACGTGGTCGGAGGTTCGAATGCGGATTTGAAGCGTTGCCTCGCAACGGGGACGCAGGACTCTCCGCCAGCAGCGCTGTGGGCCAAAGAAGGTAGCACTGCATCTATGCATCTGATACCTCCAGCGTGGCTCCCGCGAGCACCTCACAGGGCCCCCAGGATGTTCCAAAGGGCTTCACGAGGAAGCGCGCCCGCAGCACTGCGTGGCGCTGTGTGCCGGCCGCACAGAAGCTCACGCAGGGCCTCCCGGGAGTAACCCCCGGGGAGCCTCCAGGGAGCTGCCCTGGAGATTCCCACGGGCCTCCTGGCGCAGTGGGACTGCGCGGCATCACCAGGAGGCGTACAGTCGGGGCGCTGAGGAAGGAACCCTTTTCGTTTGGGAGGGGCTCGGTGTTCCTTGATTGTTTCAGAGTTTGCCTCGGGTTTCCCGGAGGTTTTCCATGGGAAATCGAGGTTGAACTTATGGGAAATAGGGGCCTCGTTCCTTATTTAGGGTTCCTTAGGTCAACGCCACGACTGTAGCGATCAGGCCGCCTCTGGCTCCCGAGAGCCTCAGAATCGTCCAGCACGGCGGCGCTGTCAGCTTAAGCGCCGCCAGCGTGCGGCACTCCCAGAGAGCCGGGACTCGCACGGAGGGCGCCGCAGCGGCATTGCCCGTCTGCGCCACGCACGTGCGGCGACCCGTGGGCGCGAATGGTGGGGGGGTCCTTGGGCGCGAATGGTGGGCAGCTCATCTCCTGTGGTGCTGGTTCCCCGTTTTGAATGCGCGTCGCCCCGCGTCCCTCCTTCCTCCAACTCCTCCCTCCTCCCTGCTCTCTGCTCCTGCTCTTCACGTGCTCATTTTGGCACTCCCCTCATACGTCTCGTGCCCCCCGGGGAATCTGCGGGGGTTTCTCCTTGGGCGCGACTAGTGTGGGGGAAGGAAGGGGTGCCGCTCTCGGGCCCGTATATAAGGCCCCCTTCTGGGCCCCAACGGGCCCCTCTTCAGGAACTCCTAAAGGGCCCCTTTTCTGCAGCCCTCGCTTGGGCGCGAGTGGTGGGGGAAGAACGGTGCCGTTCTCGGGCCCTGAAGGCCCCCTCCTGGGCCCCAACGGGCCCTTCTTCAGGAACTCTGAAGGGCCCCTTTTCTGCAGCCCTCGCTGCCCCCACATTTACAGTCCACCGGCATGTCGACGGTGGTCAGTTTTCCCCAGGGGTGCTGCTGCAGCCCTGCCTCCTCGGTCTCTCCTCGGCCACTTCCGCTGGCCGCGCCCCGCTCCAGCAGCTCCGAGATGGCCCTCCGAGGCCCCCGCACCCTCATGCACCGCGCGTCCTTCCGACACTGGTCGACGGTATCGCCCTCCCTCGGCTGCACGTAAGAGTGACCCTGGGCAAGAGTGACCTTTGGTGCGCGGCTTTTTGGTGGGCGCGAGGAGGCCAACACACAAGCGCGCAAGACGCTACCATCTCGCCGAGCGCGGCGATCGGAGGACCCCGGCGAGCGCGCACCAAAGGTCACTCCGGCGAAGGGTCACTCTTACGTGTAGTCGACTCCCCCCGTCTGTCATCACCGCGGCCCGATCTCTCGGGGGCGGCAAAGAGGGGGGTGATGACTAAGGGGGTGGATATCATGGCGGGGGCCATGATATTTCCCCAGATTTCGTGGCGCCTCTTCTTGTTCCATTACCTCCCTGGCGCCTCCGCCGGGCCGCGCACGTGCCGCCGGTGATGATTTGCACCCCCCCCCTCTTGGACACCCCTCTTTTTCGGGGGAGCGCAAGACCCGAGTAAGCCGGAACTCGGGTTTGGGGACGTTTTTTTGACGAACGCGTCCTGGATTTTGACGGTCCAGTTTTCGTGGGATGTCTCCGGCCCGCAGCCGCCGGCCTACAGGGGGATTCTCGACGAAAAATAAAAAACTACCCCCAAAATAGTCAAAAAATAATCACAAAATAGTCTGGGGACTATTTTAAAAGCAATTTTTTTCGACCTCTTTGGGGCATTTTGGGGGTATGTTTTGTTTTTCGTCGAAAATCCTCCTGTAGGGGGACACGCCCGACATAAAAGTAGCGGGCCCCCACCGGTCCGTAGCCATTTGGGCTCAAGCCGTTTCCCTCAAAGAGAGGTTTCCTCTGAAGTGTTCGCTTGGGGCCGCAGTAGCGGCAAGGCTTGTGTGTGGGCGGAAGCAATGGAGCATGCCAACCGCATCTACCAGAACCCATTGAACACGACCGAGATCTACGTCTGTTTCGGTTCGACCTTCAAGGGCGCGCAATGATTCCCTCCCTACGAGGCTTGGATGGCGCATCAAGGCCTGTCTCGGGAGGACTATGAGGCGACCACAGCTGAGGTCAAAAAGTATCTCGACGCCAACGGCGAAGACTTCAAGACAAGAGTCGCGAATTGCTTGTGCGTGCTCACCTGTGGCGTTCTATTCTGCCCGGTGCTCACCTTGAGGAACCAGGAGGCCCGCATACACAGAGCTGCAGGAGTTGGTCGCGCGGACGAGTAACAACAATCTGACCTACTGGATCTCGGCCTTCGACAATGTCGGGCAGAAACTGGGGGCGTGGGTGGACTCCAAGGGTTCGCCACTCATGCTCCACATGGAAGACAGTTACCCCAAACAAGGCGGCCCACCCGATGGCTGTAGCCTTGTCATGAAGACCCAGAGCCCGGTGCAGTGGCCCCCCCGTTTGACGAACGTCATTGGCAAGCGCTTCTGCTGCGATTGTGGCCAGGCATTGCAGCCCGGAAACCGCTTTTGCGGTAGCTGCGGAGCCCAAGCGTAGGGTGGGATGGCACGTTTCTCTGCTCTTCCATGCTCCAATCGCTAAGCACAAACTCAAATAAACCAGTTTGGCAAGGTCTACTGCCCCCCCCCAAAAAAAGTAGCGGGCCCGTGGGAGGGCGGGGGGGGGGGGGGGGGCACCTCGCAGTCTGCGCCCCCTGTGGGGCTGCTGCTGGGTGCCCGGGAGGGGGGGGGGGGCGCGGGAGCAGGCTCTCTCGGCGGAAGAGGCTCACCTGCGGCGTGCGGGCGCGGGCCCGTCGGGCGCAGCTGCCCCAGCGCTCTCCCCATCACTCCCTCCCCCTATCATCCTCTCGATCCCTGTACTTCCCCCTCCCCAGATCGGCCTCAACCTCCTCCCGCTGTCAGCGCTTTTCCCTCCTCCTGTTCTCCTGGCCTCCTTCCCTCCCATCAGTTCCTTCCTTCCCCTCCCGGCCTCTCCCCCCCTCTTCTCTGCCCCGTCCCACCCCGCATCTCCATGCCCTTCCTCCTCTCGCTCCCTCTCTCCTCCATCCCTCCGCTCTCCCCCTAAAGCGACCCCCTTCTCATCCTTCTCAACCATCCCCGCCTGCATCTCCTGCGCCTCCTCCACCCTCTACCCCCTCCTCAACGTGTTCCTCTCCAGTGTTTGGTCCTCCTCTTCCCCCTCCTCCTCCTCCTCCTCCTCCTCCTCCTGCTCCTCCTCCTGCTCCTCCTCATCCTCATCCTCATCCTCATCCTACTCCGTCTCCTTTTACCCTGTCCTGCAGTCGTGCACAGGAGCGGACTGACAATGCCGACGCGGACGGCTCTGACAGGGAGTCCAGCGGAACCCTCACCCCAGAGGAGGTCGACGAGGTTCAACGGGCAAGAACAACCACACCACTGGGAGGGGGCAGGTGGGGGGGTCCCTTCTCTTCCTTCCCTCCCGTTCTCCTCCCACTTCTCCATCTACATGCCCCCTCCCCTTACCCGTCCTCGTCTCTTCCACTTCCTATCTCCACTCCCGCTACCATCCCCCCTCCTCTGCACATGAGGCTGTTGTTTTGGATTTGGATTTCCGGCAAGTTCACTTGCATGGCATTTCCTCTCCCCTTTTCCGCCGCCATCCAATCAGCGCTGGGCCGAAAAAGCGTGCAAGCGAGCCCTGACTTGCGTGAGGTCCAGATTTCTTTTCGGGCCTCGCCACGCCCGCCCCCCTTCCATGCAGGCACACGCTGGTCGTTGAAAGTGGATCTTTTGGGGATTCCCGGATCCCTTCCATCGCCTCCCTACTGCAAGGACCGGTAGGCTTGCGCCGTGTTCTGCCATTCTCCAGGGGGCCTGGACCCAGTCTGCTTGACCCGCCTTCCCGCTTTCTGCCTCTGCCTGCTCCCTCCGACCGACGCGCAGACCCTCGACGGCGTCGCGCGAAACACGCCCCGCATCCCCCTCGCCTCCCCTCCCGGCCCGCTCGGCCCCCTCTCCCGTGCGATCGCCCCCTCCCCCCCCCGCAGGAGGAGGGAGGAGGGAGGAGGGAGGAGGGAGGAGGAGGAGGAGGGAGGAGGGAGCAGGGAGGAGGGAGGAGGGAGGAGGGAGGAGGGAGGGAGGAG